CAGTCAGCTAAGACAGAGTTTAATTTTCTTAATGTGACTCCGGAAGTGGCTCCTCAGGACCTCCTCTGTGACGACACCTCTTGGATACCAGATACTCTTGGAGACACTGAGGTTCCTTTTGTCTCGGATTCTGTCTCAAAGGTGAGCTTCAATTTAGTTCGCTTTTCTACTTAGGGTTCAGTGTTTCTTAATAAATCACTAAGTGGTTTTGGGGTGGTTTTGTTGAATATTTCATTTTGTTGTGAGCCTTGACCAATGTTCTACCTTAAATGCAAACCCTATCCAATCACGTCTTACAGAAGGGTTTCTACCTTGGGTGTGCAGTTTACTTGCACAAGGTGTTCACAACACCGTCTACTTCTTTTCCTTCCTCTTTACATTCCTTTCACCCCCAAAGCTCATCACTATGGGGGAACTTACGAGATTCTCTTCATGTCAGAGCTCTCATACTCAGATTTGAGGTCTGCTTCCTCCTAGATCCCTAGCGATTCAGAATAAACATGGCCCTCATCTTACTAGGAACGTTTGTTTGTGATAATCAAGTTTGTGAAAATCGAGTGTTAAAGAAACACATCGCAGGGTGATGGCTTGTTATCAACGAAGTATGTTGGGGAGGTCAGTGTTCAGTTGACTTTGAGTCATGAGTTTCTTACAAGCAGAGTGTCTTGGGGTTCCTGGAAGCTTTTTCTAATTTATGGAAATCTGTTTTTTATGTGGATGGGTGTTTTGTTGGCATGTACCTCTGTGCACCAGTGCATCTGGTACCCACAGAGGGCACTGGATCCCCTGGAACTGGAGTGGCAGATGGTTGTGAACCAATATGTGGGTGCTGTGAATTGAATCCAGGTTCTCTAGAAGAACAGTCAGTGTTCTTAACTGCTAAGCCATCTTTCCAGCTGCCCCCAGGTTTCTTTTTAATGGATGGACAAAGTATGAGACCTAAAATGTTTGTTATGAAGAGTGAATTCTATTAGTAAATGTGAGATATAATCTTCATGGATAACTTGATCTTAAGAAAAATACATGCTAAGAAAAAGTTTACAACCTGTGCTTATGGCAATTTCTACAGAAATATCTAAATTTTTATGGTTTGGATTATTTACTCGTTTATTCATGTATGTACTTATTGATGGTATAAGGATCAAAGTGGGGTCTCGTGCTTCCACTACAAGCACTCTACCAACTGAACTTCGTCTCAATCCCTAGATTATAAAGTTACATAAACAAAAAATATAGGTCTCAATTAAAATCTTTTCCTACTGATGAGTTATTAGGTGAGAATTGTTTTATCTCGCAGGAGGGGCTGTCTGAACTGTCTCTTGTTTTCTGCCATGATTCTTCTTTTCATGTGTTATTCTCCAAGATTGATGGCATTAACTGTCTGCCTCAAAACAAATAGGCCACTCATCACTACTGACTCAATACCCATGACTTCCTCCTTGAGAGATAAACGAAGCCCCATCTTCCACAGTCACAATACTCTTGCTACCAAGATCCTGTCACAGCAAAATGTCTACAGGTATTTTGAATATAGTAATGGGAAGACATAGTAATGCAGGTAGTCCAACTGTCTGAGATGGTGACGTTGTTTATAGCCTTAGATTGGAAATTTAAAAACTTTATCAAAAACATATGGGCCGTTCTGCAAAGATACATTGAGAGCTGGGTTTGTTTCCCCAGCAACACTAGTATAATATTAGGCATATTTTCATAAACCTATCCTATTAAAAATAAAGTCTTGACAACAAAGGTAGGAATTTCAGTTTCTTGGCTAAACAGATTCGATGTGGGTAAGATATAAGGACTCAGTGATACATAAAATCAAACTTTTCAGGAGAAGTAAAATAAAACTAATAATCTTGATCTCAGGTTGTGGAAGGCTTATTGTCAGGATTAAAACTTTACTAAATATAAACACTGCTGCGCAATAATGTGTTAAATACACAGCAAAAACTTTGGGAATGAAAATATCAACTAAACTAAGGGGAACTAAAAATAGAATTGGTGTAGTAACCGGTTAGGACTCTGGGCGTCGCTGTTCACCAGACTGGGAAAGAAGCTGTCTTAGAAACGACAGGCTCCCAGCTTCCTCTGCATTAAACCGAGACCAGACAAGCTCCTGGGGAAAGCAACCCATCCCAACTCCCGCTCTCCTCAGCTTTAGAGAAACAAGGAGCCAGCGGGCTGACCCAGGACTAAGAGGAAAGCGAAGGAAGAAAAGACAATGGCGGATCCACCGAGGCGCTGGAGCTGCAGCGACCTGCTAAAGTTCTTCATGCTGCTGGGGACGCTGTGCGCGCCAGGTAAAGGACAGATCCGCTACTCGGTGCGGGAGGAGCTGGACAAAGGCTCCTTCGTGGGCAATATCTCCAAGGACCTGGGACTCGAGCCCCGCGAGCTGGCGGAGCGGGGAGTCCGCATCGTCTCCAGAGGTAGGTCGCAGCTTTTCTCGCTGAGCCCACGGGGTGGCAGCTTGGTCACCGCAGGCAGGATAGACCGGGAGGAGCTGTGCGCCCAGAGCGCGCCCTGTCTCGTCAGCTTTAACATCTTGGTTGAGAATAAGATGAAAATTTATGGAGTAGAAGTGGAAATTCTTGATATTAATGATAACTTCCCCCGGTTCCGCGATGAAGAGTTAAAAGTCAAAGTAAATGAAAACGCAGCTGCAGGAACACGGTTGGTGCTCCCCTTCGCGAGAGATGGGGATGTGGGTGTCAATTCTCTCCAGGGTTACAGGCTCAGTTCCAACCCGCACTTCTCTCTGGATGTGAAGAGCGGATCTGATGGGCAAAAGCATCCAGAGCTGGTGTTGGAACAGCCCCTGGACCGTGAGAAAGAGTCTGCTCATGACCTGGTCCTCACAGCCTTGGATGGTGGGAACCCAGTACATTCTAGCACTGTCCACATCAGCGTGACCGTCCTGGACGCAAACGATAACGCACCCCTGTTCACTCAAAGTGAATACAGAGTGAGTGTTCCAGAGAACATACCTGTGGGCGCTCGACTCCTCACACTCACCGCCACGGATGCCGACGAGGGAATCAATGCGAAATTAACCTTCTCTTTTCGCAACGAAGAAGACAAAATTTCCGAGACTTTCCAACTCGATTCTAACCTGGGGGAAATCTCAACTATTCAATCACTGGACTATGAAGAATCCAGATTCTATCTCATGGAGGTGGTAGCCCAAGACGGAGGCGCTCTTCTTGCCAGCGCTAAGGTGTTGGTCACAGTCCAGGACGTGAATGACAATGCCCCAGAAGTAATACTGACCTCCCTCACCGGTTCCGTTTCTGAAGACTGCCTACCGGGAACCATAATAGCGCTCTTTAGCGTGCACGATGCCGACTCTGGGGAGAATGGAGAGATTTCGTGTTCTATTCCCGAGAACTTGCCGTTCAAACTGGAAAAGTCCGTAGATAATTACTATCACCTATTAACAACAAGAGCACTGGATAGAGAGGAGACTTCGGATTATAACGTCACAGTGACCGTTACTGACCATGGAACGCCTCCGCTGTCTACAGAAAACCACATCTCTCTGAAAGTAACAGACATAAATGACAACCCACCCACCTTCTCTCGCTCCTCCTATTCCACTTCCATCTCAGAAAATAATCCCAGAGGTGTCTCCATTTTTTCGGTGACTGCCTATGATGCTGACAGTGGTGATAATGCTCGGGTCACTTACTCTCTGGCTGAATATACATTTCAGGAAGCTCCTGTGTCCTCCTATGTCTCCATTAACTCTGACACTGGTGTCCTGTACGCATTGCAGTCCTTCGACTATGAGCACTTGAGAGACCTGCAGCTTCTGGTAACAGCTAAGGACAGTGGGACTCCTCCGCTCAGCAGCAATGTGTCACTGAGTTTGTTTGTCCTGGACCAGAATGACAACATTCCTGAGATCCTGTACCCAGCTATTCCGACTGATGGCTCCACTGGTGTGGAACTGGCACCCCGCACTGCAGAGCCCGGATACTTGGTAACCAAAGTAGTGGCAGTGGACAGAGACTCCGGACAGAATGCCTGGTTGTCCTATCGCCTGCTCAAGGCCAGTGAGCCAGGGCTCTTCTCAATTGGGCTTCATACAGGTGAGGTACGCACAGCAAGGGCTCTATTGGACAGAGATGCACTCAAGCAGAGCCTGGTGGTGTCTGTCCAGGACCATGGCCAGCCCCCTCTCTCAGCCACGGTCGCACTCACTATCGCTGTAGGGGATAGCATTCCGGATGTACTGACTGACTTAGGCAGCGACAATTCTCCGTCAGAGGCCCAGGATTCAGATCTCACACTCTACCTGGTGGTATCGGTGGCAGTGGTGTCCTGTGTCTTTCTAGGATTTGTAACTGTGCTGTTGGCCCTCAGGCTTAGGCACTGGCATATGTCACGCCTGCTTCCGACTTCCGCAGGCAGACTGGCCAGCATGCCTACCTCTCATTTTGTGGGCATGGATGGGGTACAGGCTTACCTGCAGACCTATTCCCATGAAATCTCCCTCACTACAGACTCCAAAAAGAGCCACCTGATCTTCCCCCAGCCCAATTATGCCGACAGGCTCATTAGTGAAGAGATCTGCGAGAAGAGCGAGCCACTGCTGGTACCTGATAATAGTCACACAAACAAAGGAGAGCCTGGAGCTGTTCAGGTTAGTTGTCTCTTTCACTAAGAACTAGAGCGTTTTCTTCATTTGTCTTCTCACTCATTTTTCTGGCAGAGTCAAAATCAGGTAGTTATATGGTGAATCACCATTCACTGTATTGGAGTTCAACTCGGTTTTGTTCAGTAATGGATACTTTTCAAATCCATTTCTTAGTGTGTGGATATTTTAGAAAATCTAGCTGCTGACAGCAGGCTTACCTTAAAAGAAGTTGATAAATGTGATAATTTTCCTTTAAAATGTCTAAGGATAGCTGTTCGGTTACTAAGAGAGTTGTTGTATTATTTCAAACTGTTACCTATATTGTTCCTTTTGGGATATTTGTCTACACCCTATTAGTGGACATGTTTTGTAGGGATGGTGGTTTGAATGAAAACATATAGGCTCACATATATGAGTGCTTTGTCACCAGGGAGTGGAAATATTTGGGAAGGAATAGGAGGTGTGCGTTTTTGGAGTAGGTGTGTTTCTAGGTGGGTTTTGAGATTTCAAAAGCCAAGGTCTAGTCTCTCTCTCTCTCTCTCTTTCTCTCTCTCTCTCTCTCCATATATATGTGTGTGTGTGTATATATATATGTATATGTATATGTGTATGTATATATATATATATATATATATATATATACAGCTACTGATCCGGCACTATGCCTGTGTGCTTCCTACCGTGATGATCATGGTATAAAACTTTAAACTGTACCTTTTAACTGCACAGTGATAGCACATGTCTTTAATCCCAGCACTTAGGAGGCAGAGGCAGGTGGATCTCTGAGTTCGAGGCCAGCCTGGTCTACTTAGTGAGTTCCAGGACAGCCAAGGCTACACAGAG